GAATCCTGAAACTCGGATTTAGGATCACGGTGAGGGTGTAGGATTGGGGTATGTAGGAAGTTTTTGAAATTGGTACTACTATGTACTAAATTTTGTACAATTTGAATTGAAGGTGAACCGATAGAGTTGGAATCCTGAAACTTGGATATAGGATCACTGTGGGGGTGTAGGATTGGGGTCTGTAGGAAGTTTCGGAAATTCGTACTACAGTGTACTAAATTTGGTACAAATTGAATTGTGAGTGAACCGATAGATTTGTAATGCTGAAACTTGGATTTAGGGTCACTGTGGGGTTGTAGGGTTAGGGTAAGTTGGAGGTTTTGGAAATTCGTACTACTGTGTACTAAATTTGGTACAATTTGAATTGTGAGTGAACCGATAGAGTTGTAATCATGAAACTTGGATTTAGGGTCACTGTGGGGTTGTAGGGTTGGAGGTTTTGGAAATTCATACTACTGTGTACTAAATTTGGTACAATTTGGATTGTGAGTGAACCGATAGCGTTGGAATTCGGAAACTTGGGATTAGGATCACTGTGGAGTGTAGGTTTGGGTTAAGTAGGAAGTTTTGGAAATTTGTACTACAGTGTACTAAATTTGGTACAAATTGAATTGTGGATGAACCGATAGAGTTAGAATTCTGAAACTTGGTTTTAGGATAACTGTGGGGGGTGTGGGTTTAGTAAGAAGTATTGGAAATTCGTAAAGTAGAAGGATACGAAAAGTACTAAAATATACCAAATATGGTACCCTTTTTAAAAAAAATTCTGAATTCTGAAATTTGGAATGTTGGAATGTTGGAAATTCGAATTCATGAGTACGAAAAGTACTAAATATGGTACAATTTGGATCTATGTGAAGAGATAGTGCTGTTATCCTGAAATTAATGAATAAAATTACTGTTTTAGTGGGAAATTGAGGCAGTTTTAGAAACTCATACTTACGTCTACGAAAAATAATAAATGGTACAATTTGGATGTTGGTGAACGAATAGAGATGGAATCTTTAAATGTGGACCTAAGGTTGTTATTGGAGTGCATGACTGAGGTATTTTTGGAAATTTGTACTTTGGGTACGACAACCAAAAAATTTGGTACAATTTGGATTTTGGAGAACGGGTAGAACTCGAATCCTGAATGTTGCAACTTAGGTTACTCTGGGAGTGTAGGAAAAGTACAGAATGGTACCAAACATGGTACAGTTTAGTGAACAGATAGAGCTGAAATTCTTAAATTTGGACTTACGATTGAAAGCAGGTTTGGAATATTGAGATTGGTTTGGTTATGGGTACGAAAAGTGCGGAATGGTTTCACTCAGAGCTGAAATTCTTAAATTTGGACTATCTGAAAGAAGGATTGAGGTACATTTGGAAATTTGTACTTATGAGTACGAAAACCACTAAATTTGGAACAATTTGAACTATGGTGGAAGAAAATTGTAGGAATAGAGGTGGAATTCAGAACTATAGTACAACTAATTATACGGTATTCACGATTTCCATAAGAAATATTTTTTTATTCCCTTTCCGCATACGAAGTAGCGGGTACTTTGCTAGTTATTTTATAATCAATGGGTGTCTGATTGAGATTACATGTTAAACAGTGCACCGACGTCTTTTCGGATACATATGTAGAATATACCCAAAGTGGTGAAGGGTATCATATAGTCGGCTCAGTCCGACTTTACTACTTTCCTCACTGGTTTCTTATTTTTTACTTTCATTTTCATACGTTCCACTCTAATATATAATCATCACAAAACTATAGCATACTTTTAGTTGCCTTGTTCAAAATACATGTATTGCATTTTGTGTGTGCATCATCATCATATTTCCCATTATTATACCTGTCTGACTCTCTTGTTCCATTTATCTTTTTTTCTTGCAGAGAACGTTTGGGTTGCAAAAGTTTTAAATGGTATCTGGACAATGTCTATCCTGAACTTTTCATACCCGGTGAATCGGTAGCCTATGGCGAGGTAAGTAAATTACCAAAAAACCTAAAACAAAACTTGTGATTTTGTTTCAAAATGCTAAAAACTTGCTGCTTGCCAAAAAAAGGAAGAAGCTAAATACTAAAATGACCCGCCTGTCTTTTGAAAAAAAAAACAAGAAAACTCAAACTAACCCCTTCTTGACCCCGTAAAAATATTAAACTAACACAATTATAAATAAAAAAGAAAAATTTACAAACCAGAAACACATACTCAAAACCCTCTGACAACTTATGGGTCAGAATGACATCTGAGTTGGTTTGATTAGCATTTTCAAAAGGCTTTTTTTTAAAAACTAACAAATTTTGCTAACATCAACCTCCAATTTAACCTTTATAACAAAATTCCATTTAAAATTTATTTTAAAATATTAACTTTTATTTTATTATCCCCAACACAAAACAACAACAAAAATTCATCTACAAACAAATACCCTCACAGATAAGAAATTTAGGTGCTGGCGGTCGCACATGTTTGGATTCACCGGCACGCAAAAAGGATTTGAAGAAGCCCGTTGGCTTGTATCCCTGTCACAATCAAGGAGGAAATCAGGTTTGTTAACAACGACCACACACGAACAAAATCAGCGACCGCCACAAGCTCCGTTCAAAATCAGAAACAACAAAAACCAAAAAAAAAAATTGTCCAAAAAACCAACCACAAAAATCCGCATTTGAATATTTCTCTCTAAACAAATTCCAACACAAGCCACAACAAAAAATAATAACAAACGACAATAAAAACGAATCTAATGGTTATGGGTTGCATATATATATGGTGTCGTTACATTTTCCACTGTCCCTGCCCTGCCCTGCTCGACCCCAGTCCCCCAAAAAACAGCAATTTTTGCCTAAACGCATGTTGATGATGCCTTTGTTTTACTCTATATTTTTTTATTATTATTTTCTCTTTCTCTCAAGATTTAAGTGGTATTAGATATGGAATCTGAAATATGATTTAAAAAATAATAATTAAAAATTAAAGCATACTTTTGGGCTAAAAAAAAAATTAAAATTAATTTATTTTTTCTATCAGAAAAAAATAGTAAACTGTCTCTACCATGTATACGCCAAGGGGTTCACTAAGGAAAAATTCATTTTTTTCTATAGAAAAATAACAAGTTTTTCCTGCTGGCCAAGAGAAACATTTTTCTCAGTGAACCCCTTGGCGTATACATGGTGACGCTAATCATACGTCCCCATGTACACCTAATTTACAATCTAGTTATTATTTTGAAAATTAAAAAATTAAAGCATACTTTTGGACTACAAAAATAAAATTAATTTATTTTTTCTATCAAAAAAAAAAAATAGTAAACTGTCTCTACGGGGAACTAGGAAAACCTATTGAATTTTTTCTATAGAAAAATATCGAATTTTTTCCTGCTGGACAAGATAAACTATTTTCTTAGTGAACCCCTTGGCGTATACATTGTGGCGCTAATCATACGTCCCCATGTACCCCCAAATAAAAATGTAGTTATTAGTTTAAAATAAAAGCAAAAAAAAAAATAAATTATGATTTCTCTAAACTCCACATCTAATACCACTTAAACCCAACTTTTTTATAGCCATTGAAATCTTCTAGTTCAATAAAAAGAAATATATATTTTTTTTATAACAACCATCCTACCAAACAAATCAATTACAGATTGCCAATATCGAAACCGATATGTGTCTCGATTCAGCCGCCAAACCGGACGACATGCAAGGTGCCGTTGATCCTTACAAATGTCACGGTCAGGGTGGAAATCAGGTACTGTTTCTTTTTGTTATTTATATATTTTCAGTTTTGAATTAATTTGCAAACATTTTGGATATTGGGCTATTCGAAAAAAAACACCACAATTATTTTTCACTTTATTAATTTCTTTTCATTTTAAATAAAATTGCTTTATGATTGATTTTCTTTAATTATAGTTTTGATATTTTTGGGTTTAATGGTAACCTGATAACACCACCACCTCCACGCTTTATGAAAAATAAATGAAATAAAAATTAAACAAAAAAATTTGTTTGGCTTTGGAAAATACCACATAATAATGTTGGCTTTGGAATAACAAAAAACTCATAACAAATCACTGGCATCAAATTTTAGATTTTTTTTTAATAGAAATTCATTCCTAACATTTACTTAACAACATTACTTTTTGGCGTATGGAGAAATGCCATATAAAAAATATCCTGTTGTAGTTCATTGAAATTCATTTTAGCTTGTCATAAATCATTGCTCATATCTCCTTTAAGACAGTTATTTAGCTCAAATATCATTTTTTTATTAGTATACTTTAGGGGATTTGTGTGAGAATCGAAAATGTCAAGTATGTATATCTTATGGCAATGACCCTAGACATTCTATTCCTTCGGAGATACTTTTTCCCTTGGACAACAATTAAAGGAAATGCTTAGTACCACAGATACACTTGTTTAAATTTAGCATATTAGGATGTACAAGTTATTCGACTACAGCCATGTTGGCGTATACATTATGACGATAATCATACGCACCAGAGGACTGTGAGAAAGAAGTATCAAATTTCTATGTAAAAAATCGAAGTAAATTTTTTATAGAAAGTGTACCTTTTCATGCACTTAATACCTTCAGAAGATGCAGAAAGATCTTATTTATTTAGAAGAAGCGTTGTAGACATACAAACAAAAAAACATATCCTGCTCTATAGTTCATTTAAATTCATTTTAGCTTGTCATAAATCATTGTTTGTATCTCCTTTTGGGTAGTTTCTTAGCTCAAATATAATTTTTTAATAGTATACTTTAGGGAATTTGTGTTAGAATCGAAAATGTCATGGCCCTAGATATTCTATTTCCTTCGGAGGTTCTTCTTCCCTTGGACAACAATTAAATAAAATGCTTAGTACTACAGATACAGTCATGTTGTCGTATACATTATGACGATAATCATACGCACCAAAGGACAGTGAGAAAGAAATGTTAAATTTCTATATAAAGAATGTTTTTACAGAACATTTTTACATTTCAGGCATTTAATACATTCAAAAAATTTAGATAGATTCCATTTCTTTGGGCAAAGTAATGAAGATATTCTTCCTTTAGAAGACTTAGAAAAATTCTACATCGAAAGTGTGTTAGTAAAATTGTTAATGTTTTTATTGGCAAAATGTGTTGTGTAGAGATTAGAAGTGCAGTTTCAAAGAGTTGAACCATAATAAAATAAATCACCATTTGTTCTATTGACCCTACTGCCGAATAGGTTATGACAATAAGTATACGCCTTATCGAACTGAGAGAACAAAATGATCAAATGGCGGATACGTTTCGACAATAATTATACGCCTTTACAACAAATAGAGAACAACTTTTTTTGATATTTAAATTCATTATGTTGACGACTGAGAGTTTGTTTATTATAATTGTAAGGTTATTGAGTTAAAAGAATCAGTGTAAGGTAGATATCTTCAAGAACATAAGTATTATTTCCATTGATCTGGTGTCCTCTAAGTTCAAAATTATATTTTCTACTTGATAATAAGTGGCGTATACAGTATGACGTTAACAAAACACACTAACGCACTATTTGAATTCTCACTTTCTTAATAAAAATCGAAGCATAATCTTAAGAAAAATTATTAAGACGGGAAGTTTCATTTTTAGCTAAAGATATTATTTATTATATCATATCATAATATGCCCTTGAAAAAATATTTCTCTTGCTAAAGATCTAGTTTTTGTTGCTCTATATCGAAAAAGCTCCCTTCCATAAGAGTAGTTATTTTTCCAGGAATGGTGAGGTATTTGTAAGTGACACACTTTGCTATTTTTAACAATACTCTGAATACAATAGCCTTTTTCTTTTCTAATTAAAACAATTTCCGAATTTTAGGCTGATAGATTTTTTCCACTAAACATCAGCGCAAATGGCTGAAACATAACACACTGTATTGAGATTATATCATTTAGTTCACATGGTCGTATTAGTGCCGGCAATAGTTATACGCCCCACGTACCATGAGAAAATATTTTGAAATCATACTTTGTTTGAAAAAAATTGCTACCCCGTAAATATATTCGGTTCCTTGTTAATTTTTTAATTTGTATACCCTTCACCACACTGTGGTACAGGGTATTATGACTTTGTGCATATGTTTGTAACAGACAAAAATAATCGAGATAGACCTATGGTTCCTTTTGAGAATATGCATAGAATCACTTTCTGAGTCGATTTATGCATGTCCGTCCTTCTGTTGGTGTTAAATTGTAAACAAAGTACAGGTCGCATTTATGATCCCAATTGGATGAAATTTGGCACAGCTCATTTGTTTGGCCCAAGGACGAACCCTATTGAAATTGGAAGGAATCGGTTCAGATTTAGATATAGCTCCCATATATATTGCATATATATTCGTCCGATTTAAGGCAAATGACGCACCAATGTACCTATATATCCTTCGATTTGCACGAAATTTGGCACAGCGTAATGAATAACTTCTAGAACGATGTGTGTTAAGTTTCTTGAAAATCGGTTCAGATTTAGATATAGCTCCCATATGTATTTTCATCCGATTTTAAGTAATTGGTGCACCAAAGTCTCTGAAAATCATTCGATTTGCAGGAAATTTGTCATAGTGTACTGAATTAAGACTAAAATGTCGTGTGCTAAGTTTCGTGAAAATCGGTTCAGATTTAGATATAGCTCCAATATATATTTTCGTCCGATTTTATGTAATTGGTGCGCCAATTTTGGTATACGGTACAGAATTCAGTCTAGAATGGTGTTGCTAAGCTTCGTGAAAATATTTATAGCTAGGCCTATTGACACAAGGTACTGATGTAATATAAATTAATCTCTGACAAGTTTCCCCGAAATGGGTTCAGATATAGATATATAACAAAAACGCGTCGTCTGTTAGGATTATATGTAGAATATACCCAAAGTGTTGAAGGGTTTCATATAATCGGCCCAGTCCGACTTTACTACTTTCCTTACTGGTTCTACTTCGATTCGTGCCTAAAATTTTAGCAAAGAAAGAAAAGTCAGTTACCCCGTTGGTTAAGGGGCTTATCAGGCATTTGGCTTTACAAACGTCGTATGTTAATAATTTGCATTTATATGGAAGTTAATGCGAAATTGTATCAGCGAATTAAAATTCAAATTTATCCATTTTTGACATTTATCTTCACTTCAGAAGCAATTCTTTTAAAAGCAAATTCTCAGTTGTTTTAAAATCAAATTCTTCCATACTATACGTATATGTTTTGTCCAATGTGGCATAGTGTTTCAGAACGTAAAGTACTCTGGCAACATTTGTATTGCTCTGGAAACCTAAGTTCTAGGTGTGTTATATTTGAAATTTCAAAACAAAAATATATTTAGCTAAAATAACACGTCACATTATATTTGAGAAAAATTAGTAAAGTTTTTCCTAATTAAGTCGAATTGTCAAGCATTCACTGGAATCTTAACAGGAAAGGGGTGGCGTATTAATTGTGGCAATACTTATACGACCTAATGTACTAAGCGAAATATATTTATTTACACGTTTTATTTTCTTAGAGGCTACAAATATTTAATTGTAGAAAAATTGTCATATTTTTTTATAAAATTTTATGTAATTGTAAATAATTTCATGAGGTTGACGTATATTTTTCCCTCATATTTCTACATCGGAAAAATTATAAGAATTTACTTTGGAATCTATACCCTAATACGCCCCTAAAACAATTATCACTTTTAATTCAATACATTAAAACTTGAGCGTATACCTGTCGTTAATACGTATACAATGAATTTCTGGGAATAAATTCGTGTTAAGAATAAAATAAATTCTTGTGGGAATAAATTTATATTTTTTATAGTGATTATTGATTTTAAATATTTCAATTATGAATAATGACCAGTTATTATTTGTCATGTGGGATATAAACTATTCTTTGTTCACAGGTACTTGACATTTTCTACAGTTGATTAGTTGAAAATTGGAGAACTTATTTAAAAATCAATACAGTATTTTTCGGTTAATTGCACATAAAAATGTGCACAAATTTTAGTTCAATTCACCGAGAAACCAATTATCCGAACCCGCTTAATTGAATAGTTTGTTCAATTACAGTAATCACGTATAATTTGAACTTCAATGTCAAATACAAATTAAGCTTTCTCGCAGTTTTTCCTTAGCAATAAACATATGTTTTGAATTAGTGGAGGTCCCACTTAGTCTTTTTCACAAATTATGTCAAATATGTATGCAAAAAATGGCAGATTATTTTTCATTTATTATTAAGCAATTAACCGGTGAAAAGTAAAAGAAATTTATTTTTGATGACAGGTTTTAATTATCCGAGAAAACAGGGTTTAATTATCCGAGAAACAGGGTTTAATTATCCGAGAAAATTTACATGTATTTTCCTATGAAATATTTTTTGCCCCATCATGTGGTTCAATTAAGCGTGGAATCCAATTAACCGTAGGTCCAATTAACCGAAAAATACTGTATATTTTCGCCATACTTATACGCCCGAATGTCCGTTTTATGTTAATTTTTGATGTTAAATAGTTCAGCGATCCATTATTATTCTCCATCCTGAATATAAACTATAATTCTTCCTCATTATTTCAGTTGATACTAAAAAATTTTCCACAACATTTAACTCTAAATGTGAGATATAATCTTCAAGTCAATACATTTAAATGATGGTGGTGGCGTATACGTGCTCACCATACTTATACGTCCCAAATATGTGAATGAGTACAAACACCAGGTGAATTTTTCTTTATTG